CCTCCACATAACCCTCCCCTAACCATCCACACCACGCTAAGGTTTCACCCCCACCCCTCAAAAGGCAGTGGGCGGTCCCCTCTTGCGCCGCGGTGAATCCGGCAGCTGGACAACCGGACACCCCGGCCGACCCAACTCCATCACGCCCACCCTCGCCACCGGTGCCTAGGAAAGGGTCGAGCTATACTTCCGATCAAGCAGTTACCCACTCCCGCTTGTGGTAAGCACGGTAAGTCTCCCAGGGTTTCCCGTGAACCGGTCCTTAACTGCCATGGGTGCGACCAACAAAACCATGCACCCACAGCCCACCATTCAGTGTGTTTTAATTTACTAACACCATTGTGGTGGCACCAATCTAAAACTATGCCAATAGACAAAGTCTATGTAATAATGTGATCCCCATTTGTGTACTAGTTGAACTAAGCATGGCTAAGCATTTCCTAAGCCAACATCTAGTCATTTTGATACCCAAGTTATCAATGGCATAAGGTAACCAATATGTGGCTGAGGAATAGGACCCATCCCACATTACATTGTAAAAGAATGCAACATTTAATAGAAATGCGGGATATTTGTAAATTGGGTACAATATGATCAAACGTATTGCATGACTTGCCTTGCTCTCGCACTGATGAGACCACAGCAACGTCTTCGAGAAACCGCGGATCGACGAAACGGCCGAAATCTACGCGACAAACAAAGCACACAAGCAAAACATGCTATAAGACTACTGAAACAGGAAACAAAACCATTTTTAATGGATTCTTTGCATTTTTCTTGATTTACTGAGACTTGAATGGACTTAAACGGAGCTCGGATGAATTACTTATGAATTTTAGAAGATAAACTGTGTTTTTACTAATAAAGAAAAGTCCTTAATTAATTATTGCGCAATAATACCCAGGGCTGACGTCATCCAAGGGGGGCGGCGCCGACAGGCGGGGCCCACGGGTCAGCGGCTCAAAGGGGAGAGGAAGGGGGCGCCGGCATGTGGGCCCCACGGGCAGTGGCTCAAGGTGGCCGGTCTACCGTGGACCAGGACCACGTGGGTGGTCCACCGCCGGTCCACGGGACCGACGGTCCGGATCGGCCTCAAAGACGATCGGACGGCGCGGGGAAGGCGGCTAGGCACGGCTCGGCTTCAAAGCCGACCGGCAGCCATGGCGGCCGATGGCGACACGCGCGGTCACCGGCGGTGACCGGCGGCGGCGCGCGAGAGCCGGCAACGGCAAGCGACGGCGCAGGAGGCGGCGGCGGCCGACGCACAGGCCGGCGGCGGCGGACGAAGGCGATGGCGAGCGCAGGGAGCGGCAGCGCGTGCGGGACAGAGGGAAGGAGGGAGGAGAGGAGCTCCTCACCGTGAGCACGGCGGCCGGCGCGAAGAATGAACACGGCGGCGATGACCGGCGATGCGGAGGCACGGACGGGCGGCGGCGACACCCTAGGAGAAGATGGAGAGGCGTTAGGAGAGGAGACGACGACCACGGCGGCTTGAATTGCTGGCCGGAGATGGAGGGGAGGGAAAAACTCACCGGCTCGCGAGGGGAGAGGCGCTCCGGTGGGATTCCGGCGACGCGAGGCGGCGGCCGGGAAAGCTCTTGCGGCGGCGAAGCTAACGGCGGCGGCGGTTTGGCGCGGCGGCGACTCTAGCAGTGGCGGCGCGCGGCCGAAGGCGGCGGCAAGCGGCGGAGCTCGGGTGTGACGGCGCGGGCGCGGTAGGGGGCGTGGGAGAGGACGGCAAATGGGGGAAACGAGAGAGGGGACTCGGGGGAGGGTTTTTATGGGCGAGGGAGGGGCGGACGTGGCCGGGGAGATGGCCGAAACCGCCGGCGACATGGGGTGGAGAGAGAGAGAGAGTGAGGTGGGATTCAAAATGAATCCCGCCCACTTCGTGCGTGCGCGCGGGCGGGAAAGGCGGAGGAGTGGGGCGGCGACGTGGGCGCGCGGCACGGGCGGAGTGGGACGCAGAGAACGGCGGGAAACGGTGGCGGCGACGAGGGCGGTTTCGACGGCAGCGGCGGTTGCCGGAGGAAGGAGACGACCGACAGGTGGGGCCCACCTGTCGGCGACCCAGAGAGAGGAGGGAGGGGCGCATGGGCCGGCCCAACAAAGGGGAGGCCGAGCGCGGGAGGGAGTGGGCCGACGGCCCAAATGAGAAAAAAGAAGGAAAAGAAAAAGAAAAGGAAGAAAGGATTTTTCCTGGGATTAAAAATATTGCACTTGCTCAATTTTAATTGGTTAAAATTATTTCCAAGGCTCTGAAAATTCCACTAAAAATCTTGTTAATGCATTGGAGCATGGGGAACTCAAGAGAAATTCCACCACGCTATTTTCGATTATTAATTGCATTTATTAACTGGGGATTCAGCTCTAGGTTAATTAAGATAATTTCTTCGGGCAATTTATTTAACCAATTTTTTTTAAAGCAAGAAAAGGGGGGGAACTTCAGGGTGTGACAAAGGGTCAGCAGTCAGCTGGCGACTGGCCCGCCAAGTTGGCGACTTTTGTTGAGGACTGGTTGCTCGCAACCGAGGAGGTCGTGGACCACGAGGGAGAGCCACACACTGAGGAGGCGTACCAGGCCTACCTACGCTGGGACCAGCCACGCACCCGTACTAGGGTCACTTTCGCTCCCTTGGAGCAGCAGCCCCACGTTGTGAGCACTACTCTATTCGGCAGACCCGCACTACGGCTTGCGCATACATTGAGTGGGTCAATACAGAAAATCCCGTTCTCGACCTAACCACTTGTTTACAAGAAGGTCGTTAGTATTTCGCATCCGAAAGTATTGAGCAATACTTACAGAGAAAAGCGGCTTATGAACGACAATGTCGTGAACAACAGAATGACTGGCGGGTGCTAACTATGGCACTCCCTCCATGGGAAGCCCGTCCAAGATGCAGGTGTGGTGATCGTTGTTAGGTTCTTCGTTCCATAAAGCCTACAATATTGGGTCGAAGGTTCTTTGTTTGTCCAAATATTCTTGACGACGATTTCATGGTAAGAATATTTTGATTACATGAATCCTTATTTTCTCACAACATTTACTAACTTTGCTCGCTTTACATCTATTCTTTCCTCCCAGGAACCACCAAGGAGATGTCAATACAGAGAATGGATAGACACCAGAAGGGTTCTAACTCCACCTAGCCGTGTTGTGCAGCTTGAACTACCAGAGCAATACAGGGTTACTAAAGCGCGGTTTGAGAGAGGAGAGGGATCCTCACGTAGCGGTTAGCTATTATCGGACAACTTGGCATATTGAAATTTCTACTGTCATGCTTCCTTGTCCCATTACTACATCGTCGTTGTGTTCAACTATTGCACTACCTCCCTCCTAGTTCGAATCTAATATCATCTATGTAACCGCAATGGAAATAGTTGTATCATGTTCAAATTGTACTACTATTTCTTCATGTTACTAATTCTCCTTGTTTAAGTCCATATAATGTTTCTACGACCGAGACTGCGATAGGCCTATATTAATTATCCGAGTACTAATACGTCGAATAAGTTACAAAATAATACCTTAACATATGAAATTGCGAAACAACCAACTTCAATACATTTTTATAACAATATTAACAAGTTTTACCAATAAATACTTCTTTATTTATTATTAACATAACATAGAAAAATCGTTTGGCGGTACTTTTTGCATCTGGGTCCCTTGACGCCCTCTACTGGGGCGGCAAGGGGCCTAAATGAAAAAAGTACGAGCGCAACCTCTTTATGGGCGGCCAAAATTGCAATTAGCCTCTTGCCGCCCTTTGTATGGGCGGCAAGGGGCTAATTGCAATTTTGGCCGACGGCGGCAAACGGCGCGGTCAACCCGCCATCTGCCACGTCAGCTTGCCGCCCACCTCTGGGGCGGCAGGGTCTATTTTTGCAATTTTTTTGGCCGATAGATTATTTCTGTAAATATTAAAAAAAATCTATAAATGAAAAAAATTCCAACCTCATTGCTGACATGGAATGGGCCGGCCCATGCCTTTGCTTTATATTCAACTTGGGCCTAGGCCTGGGACTCTCTCGTGACGCTTGATTTTTTTTTTTTTGAATGTGCCATGGCTGTCACTCTGAATGGTGCTAGTCTTTTCGTGTGGATAATGTCATACGGATATACATAAGTTCAAATTTTCAAATGTTGGTCATATTATATATTTAAATGTTTAGAATGGTTATGTCAAGATTGTGTGTGCAAATTTATGTCAACAATGGCTTATATTGTCACAAATCCATGGTCAAAGTTCCATTTTAGTGTAAAACGCGCCTGGTTTTTAAATCGACACAGTTTTCTAAGTAGTGTGATACCATTTAGCAAGTGCACACGGTATAAACATCTTCAAATGGAAGACTCTGCAGATAGCAATTTACACGAGACATGTATATATCTACTACTACTTAAAAAAGTAAAACATGTTTCCGTTGTCCGTTGGGAAAAAAAAGAGCGACAAAAAACAAAAAAAAGGGAGAAAAACTTCACTCGGAAAAAAAAAAGGTCCGACTCATCCAGCGGTAAAAAAAAAGAGAGAAAAAACAAAAAAAAGAGAAAAAAAAACTTCAATCGCAAAAAAAATAACGTCCGACTTAAAAGAAAAAGTCGGACTCCCTGTGGAGAAAAAAAAGCCGAGAAAAAAAAACAAAAAACTTCTACCATAAAAAAAGAAAAAAATGTCCGACTCTCTCGAAAAAGACTTCTCGTCAGTAATCTTCTCTTCTACTTATACTACTTTTTAAAAAATATATATATAAAAATTGAAGATGTTTTTGCCAGTACTTTGGTACGTCATCCGTGTATCGGTGTATGGGTCGGTTTTTAAATTCGTTCGCTTTTGGAAATATAAATCCGTATTTGAGTCATTTTTTTAAGTTTGTTCACTTTTAAAAATACAGAAGGAATCATATAAGAAATCTCTTTAAAACCCGTATGCTAATTTGAGACGATCGGACTCCTAATTGCAACTCATGATTTTCTAACCAAATATATATATCCAAGTGAATTTAATACAGTGAATTTCATCTTAACTAAACCATATAACAATAATAAGATTAAAATAGTCTTCACCCGTTGCAACGCACGGGCATTTTTGCTAGTATATAAAAAAGAAAGAACATCATCAACAATGCAAGAGCGATCGCCTCCACAGTTCGGATATCTCGGATACCAAAATTGAGGCCTAAAAATCAAAAACAAAAATGTTCAAATTTACACCTGGCCTTGCTTGGCCGCACATTGGACGAACCATATGCATGCACAAATACGTGCGCACACGTCAGCCGTCTGGTGAACCGAGTCGTGTGCCACAAACCCGCAAAGTCAACTCGCTCTCAATCTTGGCAAATGCAGACCAATGAACACTGCCATGGCCGGATCACTGCCGGGAAGCAGCGACGCCGTCGTTGCCGCAGGTGTCACCTCTGATCACCTGGGGCTGTGAGAAGGACAGCCGGCCGAACCCCCAGTGCCCGAGCTGGTAGATCTCCACCCACGTCTTCTCCGCCGTGTCCACCCGCGGCCTCGCCCTGCCGCTGCCCTCGCCGACGGCACTGATCGCGTCGACGCTGGCATCGCCCGGCGGCGCTGCCGAGGCTGCACCACCGGTGCGGCCAGGCTCGCGCCGATCCTGCTTGCGCTCTGCCCGCACCGCGCCGTCGGCGCCGGCGGGGCGCCACTCCTGCAGCTGGCCGTCGTCCAGGTCCCAGACGCGGTTCGTCTTCCGCGGCGTCGTCGCGACGCCTGGCCTGATCATCCGCCGCCGCTTGCCGGCGGCGAGCCTGGCCACGCACCGCCGGCCCGCCGCGTACGGCGCCTTGACGAGGGCCAGCGTGAGGCAGCCCACCACGGCGCACGGGCAGCAGCACAGCGCCACGCAGCTCGCCACCGCCGACGCGCCGCACGTCCCGCACGACTGGGCGGCGGAGCGGCGTCGCGTCGGCTCGCCGCCCTCCGCCGGAACGGGGAACCGGTACGGCCGCGCCGACGCCATCGACACCTTGTGCACGGCCGAGAGTGCGGAATGTCGCGATATAGTATAGGCTCCACGGGCAATGACCGATGGGCGCAGAGCTATAGCTTGTCTGCAACCAAGAATAAGCCAGAGCGTGTAATGTAACAGGATGAGACCAAAATTAATGGTTTAATTTCTTTCTAAGATAAGGACGCCCAGGAGGAAACAATCATAATGCATGCCACAAACCGGTACTGCTTCATCTGTTTGCAAAGTCCAAATAAACATCACTAGATACTTTCGTATTTAAAATTTGTTCATTCTTATTTTCTAAATATCGTTTCATATTTATGCTTTGATTTTGTCTTCTTAATCAAACTTATTAAATTTGATCCAATTTATAGAAAAACATGGCAATATTTTTAACAAAAAAAAACATACCATCAAAATATATTCAATGCTAGATTAAATGAAGCTAATTTGGAGTTGTATATGTTGCTATTTTTTTCTATATATTTGATCAAACTTAAAGAAGTTTAATTGGGGAAATAGTCAAATCATCTTTTAATATGAAATGGATGGAGTATATAACTTAAATATATACTTACATTATCAAAGTGGATTGCATCCTAAATTTAACCATATTCATCATAATCTATCCATTCAAAAATTGACCATAATAAAAGTTCAAACAATAATAATTAACACGGACAAATATTTGAAAAATGGAGGGAGTATCACACCGGTCAATTGAGACACCTCTAAAATGCAAATTCCAATGCACATTTTTCATCAAAATATCACAGTTCTAACAAACCAATATTCTATAGTAGTTTATTAGCAGCATAAATTTATGTCTCATTTTCATACTTCAAACTAAATATTACTCCCCCTGGTCATAAGCATTTGACATTTGATGTAATCTTATTCTAAATTTCAAATATTTATGACCATAGGGAGTATTGTGCTCACTGGCCATTATCTCCTCCTGTTTTTAGATGGAATTATATTGATATTTCAGTATTTCACTTCCATTACCTTCTTAATATATATTTTTTGCACTGACAATGCACGTAGATCGATGCCAAAGACTTGGTCGAGATTTATATTTTTGAAAAGGAATAGATGGTATGAGTTAGGTCAGAGAGGAATGAGCATTGAACATGGTCTTCAAATTTCACTATCAATGAGCTGGAGCAGTTAATTTGATTAAGTATAGTTAATATCGCATCGCCTTGATATTCCTTTCTATTTTTGTAGACTGGGCATGGTGTTGAAGCTTGGTTATGTAACAAGCATTCTTCATTTTTCTATATACACAAATAGTCTTCGCCTTCCTACATCAGAATCTGAAATTGTTGATACTTCGAAAAGAAAAGCATACGTGTAATCAACCTTTTGCATTTTCAACAAGCGAAATTCTCTGCATGTTCGGCTTTGTATACTTGTGTAAAATTTACACTGTCATGGCAAAGAACTCTTAGCACATGATATTTTCTGTCAGGAGAGAGATAGATGATGAAAAGAGAAAAACAGAGTGCTAGTTTACATTAGGATGATCTGATGATCCTACGAATATGGCAGGCACGTCCTGTTGTTGCCCCATTCATCTTCATGGAAGACACATCATCTCCTCAGAACAAGCAGCGACAAAACAAAGGCCGGGGCGGCAAATCGATCAAATCGAAGAGATGATACATCCGCGGCTTACGGCAATACTCTGTGTCTCTGTCCAAGGAAGGCCAGGACATGCACGAAAGCATACCGATCTCCCACTATTTGGAAGAAAACTGGAGGCGCAAACGTACACCATGATAGAAGAATAGAAGTAGAAAATAATACGTACAGTACCTGGAGGCGAAACCTGCCACTCACGACGCCCTTCTCTTCTCCGCAGCGATGTAGTGGAGGGCGCTCACCTCGGTGCTTGATTTTCGCGGGAGAGGAAGAGCAGATACAAGCAAAATGTCTTTGAACTAATGGCTGGTCGCTAGGCGCAAGGGGATAGAAAATAGAATGGTGTACCGCACGACGAGTAGACCATGAGGAAACTGGAAATGGAGAAGGGTTTAAAGCTTGGCTGGAGAATGATACGGATAGGGTTATGTTCTGTCGGTCTGAGTATACTTATATTATTTAATAAATATATATTCCGCGCTCATATATCCTTTAGGTTTAGAAAACATGTCCTTGTAATATTAATACAGTTTTAAAATACATGTAATATTTTCGATTACATGTAATGTAAGAAAGAATAGTTACACACACGATGATACGCATCTCACGTATATATAGAAGGGACGTGTCGCTCTAACATGTGAATGGGCCTCGTATATCACTGACCTACGTCCCTCTAACTTTATGTTAAAAGAACGAGAGTAGCTATATTTATGATGTCATATTTTTCACAATAAATAGTTAGTATGTACTCGCTCTGTCCAAAAAAGACAAACCCTGATTTTCGTGTCCAACATTTGACCGTCCGTCTTATTTGAAAAAATTATGAAAAAAATTAAAAAGATAAGTCACGCATAAAACATTAATCATGTTTTATCATCTAACAACAATAAAAATACTAATTATAAAAAATTTTCATATAAGACGGACAGTCAAATATTGGCACGAAAACCCACGGTTTGCCTTTTTTTGGGACGGAGGGAGTATTTACATTGTAAATTTAAATTTAATATTTTTTGGCTTCACGCTGCACACGCAACACGCAAAGACGACATTCAGTGCACTGGTATTTCAATCATAGCACGAATCTCAAGCGAGATCAATTGAACTGAAAATCGACTGTGATTACCAAGAAAATGTGTTGATATAATTATAGCAGCACCGAGTATATACTATGACATATATACATATCAGTGGCCATGAATATGCCATATTAAGTATTAGCACGTGCTAAAACAATGGAGACTATAGATGGCCATAAGACCCGCCCGGTACGGCCCAGCCCAGGCACTGCTAGGCACGGCCCACCAGCGATCGGGGCACTTCGTGCAGGGCCGTGCCAGCCCGAAGGCTCAGGTGGCCCATCTTGTGTAACACCCTGAAAATTCGACCGACAAAAATCAAAACTCTAAAAATGCGGATTTTCAAAAACTTTTTTTAATAAATTGCATCATGCCGATTTTATTCGATTATTTTATTGGAGTTTGGGTTCGGAGTTTATAAATCGCGAATAATGGATAATTGGTTAGGAATAAACCCTAAAAAGTAAATGGACAAAGTAAATAATTAAAGTGCAATTTAAAATAAGATTTGGTAAGGATAGAAATGAGTAAAATATTATTACGACCATATTTATATCCATCAAATTTAAAAGCAATGGAATGAGAATTAACTCTAATTAAGTTCAAGTAAATTACAATAATAATATATAAAACATGGAATAAATTAATTTAGAATGAATCCATGGATTGGAATGGCACAAATATTGAGTATACTTCATTTATGCAAAATTTGGGAATTAAAGAATCAAATTTAAATAATAAATGGGCCAAAATCGGGTTAATTAGAAAACGGCACTGTTCATTGCACCTAAAGTGTTCGACGTGGTCTCCCTAGCCCTAGCCCCTCCTCTGCCAACTGCCTCGCGCCCCGCGCGCCGCGTGCCGCTCTGCCTCCTCTCCGCTGTCGCCGTCGCCATCGACGTCCCGTCCCCGCGCGCCGCGCGCCGCTCCGCCTCCCCTTTGCCGTCACCGTCGCCATCTCGCGCCCCGCGCCCCGCCGCGCCATACGCCTGCCGCGCCGTCCCGTCGTCTCGCGCCCCGTGCCGCGCCGTTACCGCCTGCCGCGCCTCGCGCCCCGCGCCGCGCCGCTGCCGCCTGCCGCGCCGCGCGCCGTCGTCATCGCCGTCACATCGCCGCGCGCCGTCGCCATCACTCGCGCGTCGCCGTCGCTGTCGCGTCGCCATGCGCCCCGCGCTGCGCCGCGCGCCGCCGCTGCCGCTCGCCCATCGCGTCGCTCGCGCCACGCCGCCGTCGCGTCGCCTCGCGCCGCGCGCCCCCACCTCGCGCCCCACGCCGCCGTCGCGTCTCCCCTCTCCCCTCTCCCCCTTATCTCTTCCCCTCTCCTATATAAACCCCACTATTCCCACTCTTTCCCTCCATCCTCACCTCCTCTCCTCTACCCACTCCACCACGCCGCCGCCTCCACGCCGCCGCGTCGTCGCATAGAGCCGCCGCGCCGCCGCCACGAAGCCGCCGCGCCACGCCGCGCCTTGGCCGTGCCACGTTCCCCGCCGCCGTGCACCGCCGCTGTCGCAGCCACCGTGCGCTGCCGCCATTGCCGTTGCCGCCAGTAAGCCGTGCCGCCGCCGCCTTTTTTCCTTTTCCTCAGCCGGTCTCGGTAGGCAGGACGAGAGAGGGAGGGAGAAGGAGCCGAAAGAGAATAGAGGAAGAGAAGGAAAAGAAAGAAAGGAGCCGGGAGGAGAGAAGAGAGAGAAAAAGAAAGAGAGGAAAGGAGGAAGGAGCCGGGAGAAAAAAGAAAAGAAAAAGAAAGGGAGAAAAAGAAAAAGGAAATAAATAGGAAATTAGAGGGAGATTAGGGAAGTTTAGAAAATTTAAAATAATTGGAATTTAATTATAGATTAATTATAGTCGTAGAATTGAAAATTTTAATATAAATTATGGATTATTCTTGGCAATTTCTATAAGAAATCAATTCGCGGTAATAATTTAGATGTAGTTAATAACTAAACAAATAGATGAATTCTTATGGATTATTATAGATTATTTATGGGTAATCCCTATAAGTAATCGATTCACGGTAGAAATTTGGGTTTAACTACTAGGGATTTTACCCGTGTATTATATTTAATCATTTAGTCATAGACTAAACTAAATCGTATAATATTTCTAGGATTCCGTCCGATATTTAGCTCGCGATAGAAATTTCTAACCTATTATATGGATATAATGCTCGGGTAGATTAAATTAAAAATTTATGACAACAAAATATTTATACCCGCAAAATAGTTTGAATCGAAATTGGGTTTGCCTTAGTTCGCGAATAATAAAGTTAATATAAAGAAATCGACTTTCGCATTCGACTTTCATTTGGATTCATTTGGATTTTTATTTGAATTCTAACCGAATTCAAATCAATTTTCGCACGTAACTATAGAGCCCGAGGGAGTTGCGGATCCAAGCGAAGGTCAAGACCCGCAAGACATTGAGCAAGGCAAGTCATCAATATTCCTTGAACATGTTGATCCCAATTGCGAAATTGTTTTGTTTACAAATAAAATTGCATGCAATGATGAACATCCTACTTGTGATCATGCCATGCCTTGATTATTGTTTACCCTTAAATCTTTGTAACCATGTTTACGTATGAGTCCCTAGTCAACTATGACAATTGCTTAGAAATGCTATTCTAGAATCATGCATACTCATATTTATCAAATGCTATATGCTTGGGCAATTACCTTTGGGAAGGTAATTGAGATGCGGCATGTAGAGACATGAGCGCCACATTGCCATGATGTTGATGACATGATTTGTGAAAGGAGAAATAAAATTAAACAACTGTTTTCGACTGGGGCGGACGGAGGATTTGGGTGGTATCTGGAAAAGGCTAGTACCGTCCCCGGTCAATTAAGGACCGAGCCATGAAGTTAAGCATGAAACGACCCCCGTACAACCGTACTTCTTGAATGGGTATAGACCTAGCGGATTAGATAGCCGAGCGGAGGCAGTATCCCTGCATAGATGGTTCACCCCTGAGTGAGGCAGGTGCGCTACGGTGGGACAGCCGTTGAGGTAGGGCCGAGAGGCGTGCCCTACATCGGTGTCGCCATTGGTAGGACTGCCATGAGTGTGTGTGAGAGAGAACTTAACTTGAACCATAATTTAATATGTGTGAGACTTCTCTTTCCCGGGAGCGCCAGAACACCTCACACTGCTAGAAACATGGACGCCTAGAGTGCATGAGGATTTAAGTTCATGGAGCGGGTACTGCCAATGCGAGGTTATCGAAAAGCTTTGCCGTGACGCGTCTCATGTGTTGGGACGAGGCTCATATGTTGGGCAGTCGCGGAGTGCGGGTAAAGTGTACATCCACTGCAGTGTGAGTAAACCAAATCTATTCGAATAGCCGTGCTCGCGGTTATTGAGCACCGGGACATGTGTTACACTTGGCTAGACTCTAAATTCTTTAACTTGTGTGGGATGGGATATTGCATGATGATTTTTATGCTGATGGAGCCACTTCCTGAGAGGCGGGAATGTGGACGTCCTCAGAAAACCATGACGACTTAATGGCGGGAAGCTATCCTTGGGATCACAATGGATGGTGGACAGAACCGTCATTGTTTAATATGAACACTGATATTAAAACTTGATCAGTCTATGCTAGGTCTTAGGCTTGTGAAAAGAATTATAAAACTGGCTTTACGCAAAAGAACTATAGTCATCCTTTGAATTCCTCTGTCATGTGCATCATTGCTGTGGTGGCCTGCTGAGTACGGTTGGTACTCACCCTTGCAACTATAAAATTAATCAGAGGCGGGAGATGAAGCTTCGGAGGATCCCTATGCCTACTACCAGGAGGGAGATGAAGACGATGGCGCTCAGTAGGTCTTAGTACGGTCGTTGCCTGTGGCAATGGCATGCCGCTGCCTGAATTCCGCTGCCTTATCTATTTCTGCTTTTGGAAGTATTTCGGACCGCTCGGTCCGATGATTTAAGACTGTGCCTGCGGGCTTATGATGTAATAATTCGTACTAGACTTTCGTGTATGTGCACTTGATATTTCAGCTATGAGTTCGTGTGTACCAAACTACTTGATCCAGGGAAATGGTACTGATTACACGAATGATTCCTGTTATAAAAACGGGGGTCCACATCTTGCTTTTTTTAAATAAGTCTATTTTCCCTCCCTCCTCTTTGGACTATGACAAATATATAGCTAAAATAAGTCTATTTTCTCTCCCTCCTCTTTGGGCTGACATATATATAGCTAAAATAAGTCTATTTTACATCCCTATTCTTTGGACCGTGGCATATAATATATCCATTTTTACTCCCTTTTCTTTGTGTGACGGGCCTAGCTGCTGGCCCATCATGCCGTGCCGGCCCGGTCGTGCCAGGCCGGCCCAACGTGTCGGTGGGGGGGAGGCCAGGCACGGCCCGGCGGTCGGGCCGGACCGGCATGGGCCCAACCCCTGTCGAGCCGTCATGTGCTTGGGCCGGGCCATCAGCACATAGGCCCAATCCCTTAGATCTGAGATTATCATGGTTCCCAACATGTGTAGTAGCTTACTTAGGGCTGCTAAACGCTACTCCGTAATTGGGTAGTTATAAAAGTAGTTTTCGAGTATGCTATGAAACATGTAGTGTGATATGAATAATCAATATGGGATTTCCCCCTTCTATGGAGAGATATCTCTGGGCCCCTCGATGTTATAGATTATGAAAGTGCATGGCCATGCCAAAGGTGATTGAGGAGTCTATCACAACTTATATAATCTATCACATGTTCGAGTGAATGATTGAGATATTAGAGGATGGCACATATCTAGCCTTGAGCTTAATCGATATCGCGAGGCAAAGGGGTTTATACAAGTATACACTAGAGGCTCAGCCGATATGATCTTTGTCTATGCCCGATGGGTCAATACGTTCTGCTAGAGACCACTATTGACACGTGGACCGAAAAGGAGTTTTCGGGTTACAACCGAGTGTATATGAACCTACTGGGTCGCACGCTTAATGGGCCAGAATAAGGGGATGGATGGAGATCCAATATGAGTTTAATTCGGATAGGGATCTGAATAGGAGTCCTACGGGCCTTGGAGGCCCGAGTCATGGATCATATATATTCATGAGGGATGTGACCGGTAGATGTATTGCATCACGTGAGAAACCCTAGCCGCCACTCCCCTCCCCGAGCAAAACCCTAGCCGCGCGCGGGTGCTAGCACATCTGCGCATGTCGTTCCGTCTCTGTACGTGTGGATACCGGTAGAGACGCCACTGCTTTGTGGTGCTGATCGGCGTGAGAGTATGCGAGGAGAACGCACGAGGAGGAGAAGGTCGAGCCAGTGTGATCAACTACTTCCTCTACATCGAGGCGCACTACTTCATGAGGGTTTCTTCGTCTTCTTATATAATTAGCGCTTTCTTCCGCTGCGTGGCGCGTCGAGTGGTAACGATCTATGATCTAATACTTGCATAGTTCATGGTTTATACGCTAGAAAATTTTGATTTATGCTATCGTAGCGTGCGCGTATCCCAACATCTTCCTCTGCTCGACATCATTTGCTACTGTTGCATCCTCGCTACCGTGCAAGAGTTGCCCTTGCCGAGTGGGAGAGAGAGGAGGAAGGAGGAAGAAGATGACTAGAGAGAGGAGATGGTATCCATATTAGCATCACGTAAAATCCCAGATGGGTTGTGGCAATGTTGGGCCAGAATGACACTTTAATAGATTGACTTAGATGCGCATTTTAAAAGTACGGGAAACTATAAACAAATCTAGGGACCAGCCATACACTTTAGATTAGTAGATATATAGTTGAAAACGATGTGCATTGGAGCAATGGTGGACGCAAGGCTCATTAAGGCCTGGTTTAGTTCCCAAATTTTTTTCTCAAAGACATCATATCGAATCTTTGGACACATGCATGGAGCATTAAATATAGATAAAAATAAAAACTAATTGCACAGTTTGCATGAAAATCGCGAGACGAATCTTTTGAGCCTAATTATTACATGATTAGCCATAAGTGCTACAGTCGTGTCTGAAAACCATTTTTGACATCCGGTCAAATATCCGATGTGACAACCAAACCTTTTCTTTTCACAAACTAAACACACCCTAACTTTTGCCTAGCCTGTCAGTTTTGACGTAGCTGATACTGTGATACATCATACCACTTTTGTGTGATGTCATATTTTTGAAATAAAACTCTTAGGAATTTTTTCCATCACTACGGATACAACGTTCCTAGAAATATAGTGTACAGAGTATGACGAAGTGTTCGGTAGTGTTTTTTTTAAAGAAAATTACAGCAAAAGGTGGTATGAAGTCTACTAAAAACACCGAGGTTTTAAAGAGACGCGTCATAATCTAGTCCATCATCAAACTAGTACGGGTTATATTTATTTTGAGATGCATGACAGCGAAAGAGTGATCCAAAGTCCACATAATGTTATATATTATGTTTTCTTAAAAAAATGATGTGTTGATTTTTCTATATAAGTTTAACCACTCATTAGAAAATTTGATGTAAATATGCAAAGTTGCTAGTCTAATTTAAATTAACTCTAGTGATAAAATATATCATAATAAAATAAACGATGCTGACAAATTAAGTTTTTTCAATGACAAATTATTAGATGTCATGTCTAACATTAAAATTCTCATATATTATAAAGTGGGATTGAGATTCTCTAATTTACTTACTGACGGTGATACATGGATCCGCTATAAAGTAGGTCAACATCTCAATAACTCACGTAATCACGGAATAAGCGAAACAACATATTTGCAAACGAAAAATAATTTATGAATAAAACTTTTATATACGTGTTCTTAGCGATCTAAAAGTAAAGGCTGAAAAATAAACTTCGATGAAAAAAACCTTAAAATTAAAATTTAAATCAAAAATAAAACTTTTATATACGTGTTCTCAGCTCTAAATTTAAAGTTAAAAATTCAAAAATTTTCAAATAAACATAAGCATGAGTGAAAAGATGAGGCTCTCAAAGTCACAACGTACTAGAGAATTTGCTTCAGAGTAGTATAGTATAGTATAGTCTAAGCCATCATTAACATGCCCATCACCAAATGACAAATGTATTGTACGGGAGAAAATACATGCTGTTAGGCCTAAGACGATGAAATCGCCTCAGTAACCAACTAACCATCAGAGCTGTCCGGTCATTATTTCATTATATCATGTATCGACCGGCGACCGCCCGGATGCAATCTCACGACGTGCCGGAGCTCCGGCGAGCCATCAGCTCATCCAACAGCCGTCCGGCATCGTCGTAGGAAGAGCCGCCCTCCTTCACCGCGCTCCTCGCCTTCTCGCGGAGCTCCTTGACCTTTTTCCTCATCGCCTCGCCTTCCTCGCCTTCACCCATCACTCTCCCGATGGCTTCCGCGATCACCTCGCCGGCAATCACCTGGCTCCGATGGTCAATGAACGACGCGAACTCCCTGGCGCCGACCCCGACGCCGACCTTAAGCATCTCAACGATGAGCTTCTCGTTGTAGAACTGGTCGGTGTAACGCGGCCACGCCACCATCGGCACGCCAGCGCTCACGGCTTCCAGCACGGAGTTCCACCCGCAGTGCGTGACGAACCCGCCGACGGCGGGGTGGTTCAGGACGAGCACCTGCGGCGCCCAGCCCCGGACGACGAGGCCGCGCTCGCCGCGCGCCATCAGATCGGCGAAGCCTTCGGGCATCCACTCCGATGCGTCGGTGTCCTCGCGGGTGATGATCCACAGGAAGTTCTTGCCGGAGAGTTGCAGGGCGCGGGCGATCTCCGTCAGCTCCGCCGCCAATAGACGGGCGATCGTGCCGAAGGAGATGTAGACGACAGAGCCGGCCGCCTTCCCGTCGAGCCACCGCAGGCAGCGTTCCTCGTCGGGCGAGAGGCGGCCGGAGTCGGTGTCCGTGTCCTGCCTCTCCGCCATGCCCTTGCCGGCGGCGAGCGCCACCGGCCCGAGGAGCCACGCGCGGCGACCGAGCTTCGTGTGGTAGTGCTCGACGTAGTCCGGCTCCATCTCGCGGAAGCTGTTGAACAGCTCGCCGAAGCTCCTCTGGTCCGCGGCGTTCACGAGCTGGAGGAAGGCCCACTCGCCCTCCCGCTCCCTGGGGTCCATCATCTGGCTCCGCCTCAGCTCGACGCGGTGCGGCAGGTCCGGCAGGGACACGACGGCGTCGGGGTCGTCGGGGGAGGCCTCCACCGGGTTGTGGCGCAGCATGCTGTCGCTGCAGGCCCGCGCGAACAGGCTGCTGCCGAGGAACGCCAGGCGCGGGACACCGTGGTCCGCGGCGGCGTCCGAGGACCAGTGGAAGAAGCTGTCGACCACGACGGCGTCGGTGTGGTGCTCGGCCAAGAACCGGTCGAACGGCTCGCGAAACCGCAGGAACGCTTCGGCTATCTTCTCTTGTTCGGCTTTGGAGGAGATGCCCGGAACGCTCTCGACGCCCGGCGGGAGCCCGACGTCGGGGAAGGGGAAGAGCGTGATGCTGATCTCCGGTGAGCCGGTGCCACGGGAGGCATCGTTGGCACGGTCCACGGCTGAACGGATGACGGCGGCGTTGACGGGGGTGGTGAGGATGGTACACCGAACGCCGCGGGCGGCGAAAAGCGCGGCCATGTCGGCCACCGGGATGAGGTGGCCGTGCGCGATAAACGGGAAGAAGAGGATGTGCAACGGCTGCTGCTCCCCCTCGCCGACAGCCATGGTTGGCTAGCTGCGTGCCCGTGCTGCTGATCTTTTGGCCAACATAGAGTTACTAGATCTACCGGCAGCTTGTGTTCTCTGCGACCCTGCGGGGTACACGCTGGATTGGACTGCACATCGGAGACTATAAAGCCTTCTCAGGTGGTATTTGGATCAAGGATTAAATTTTATGTTATATCGGATGTTTGACACTAATTCGAAATATTAAATATAGATTAATAATAAAACTAATCGTATAAATGAGAGCAAATTCGCGAGACAATTTTTAAGCCTAATTAATCTATAACTAGCTGGGGTGGCCCGCGCAATTGCACGGCTAGTACCCATATAAAATTATATATTTTATATATGTTTTACTTAAAATTTATTAAATAGTTATCTCGTTGTCTTAAGACTTTGAAAGACCAAACCTTACCATCCTCGTATTTCTAATTTAATAGTTTTTAAAAGTCACACCAGTTGCTGCCCGTTACTTCTGTCATATCCTTCTTTATTTACTTGTTTAATCTACCATTTTCTATTCATTCTCCTTGAAACCTTTAAAAATTGGATCTTATAGTTTTTAGAGTTTATTGTCCTGTTCGGTTTTGTTTTTATAATTTCTAGAAGTCCCGACAAACGCTATCATTATACTCCTCTATAGCCATCCGTTGAATATTCTCTTTATAGTCATTGATATTTTAAAAATTGAATATAATTATCATTTAGGTTCATTTTTTTTACTTTCTAGAAGTTCCGCCAAAACGTCAGCAACTTTGTCACTATACTTCTCTACGACTCGCCCGCTGCTGCCTTCTTTATTGCCATTGAGATTTTAAAATCAAACATGATCATCATTGGAGTTTATTTTTTTACTTTTTATAAGCCCGAACCTTTAAAAATTGGACTTTATAGTTTTTAGAGTTCATTGTCTCATTAGGTTTTTTTATAATTTTTATAAATCCTGTCAAACGCTGCCACTATTCTCCTCTATGACCCGTCTGCCGCCTACTCTTATTGTCATTAGGATTATAAAAATCGAACATAACTATTGTTGGAATTCATTTTTTACTTTCTAGCTAGGTGGGCCGCACAATTGCGCAGCTAGCAACCACTAAATTATCTATTTATTCACATGATTTTACTTCAAAAATGTAAAATAGCCATCGTGTTGTCTTATGACTTTATGAGATCTTGTCATCCTAGAGTCTCTAATTTTATAGTTTTTTAAAAGTCACAGTGACTACCCTTACTCCTTTATTTATTTGTTTCCCTAACCTACCACGATTTATATTCCTTCTCCTTATAACATTTAAAAATTGGACCTTTTAGTTTATAGAGTTCATTATCTCATCGGGTTTCGTTTTTATAATTTTTAGAAGTCCTATCAAATGTCTCAAATATACTCCTTTAATGCCCACCCGTTTCCTCCGCTCTTTAATGTTAGTGGGATTTTAAAAATCGAAATGATTATCATTGGTTATATTTTTTACTTCTAAAAGTCCCGCCAACCACCGTGACGCCAACCACCGTGACTGAGGTTCTCAACGACATGTTTGTTATCCTCCTCTTATTCATCATAGGTATTCTAAAAATCAAATATAATCTTTTTGAGGTTTTATTTATAATTTTAGATATCCCATCAACCACTGCCACCCTACTCGCCTGCTCCTTTATGAGCTCGCTGCTTCTCTCCACTTTATTTTCATTTACTACCATTGTGTTTTATACTGATGGTTCTTTCAACATTCAATATTTTTCATTCTCATTTTTTATTTATAAATTATATTCCTACTTGAACTTTTATTTTTATTTTTCCAATTATCAGAATTCATTTTATTTTCTATTCTAAATTTTATCTATCATCACTGTGTGCAACTTATATATGTGCAACTAGCTCGGCTGTGATTTGATAATTGTATCTAGGTGATCCCACTGGCCGCTGCTGCACACACACACAAAAAAAAATGTTCAACTTAAGCCCTGCAAAAGATTCTCATATCGCGAAGGAATGTTGCGTTCTTGCCACTGCTTTTTTTCTCTCTCCTGATCATAATGTTTTTAATTAGGCTGGTCAAATTAACAGGGTTTCATCATATGAATCGAATGGAATCGCAGCCAAGCACAAGTGGGTGATATTCGAATTTCAAAAGGCGATATAGGGGAACTAGATTATTTGTTATTTTAGTAACATATTTAGTAGTGGTGTAGTGAAGTAGCTTATGATTTGAGGTGTGAGTCAGCTATGGTGATGTCGGCATTCTAGTTACGAAAGGAGGAATAATGCATGGCATTTGGTTTTGTGTCATCGCTTTTTTGTTAGTATCAAACTAATTGTTGTTTAATTTCGATTTTGCTGTGCTTCCATAAGCTAATTAATTCATCTCATGAAATAGATTATCCACCGGAATTAGTATCAAAGATGCATTGATCATTACTCTCTAGTAATCAACTCCAGAATTGATTGAATTCGAACATTATATATCTATAACTAATATTCGTATTTTTCCGGTCGTCACATCTAATTTTCGTCCATTTTTCGTCAATACACAATCCTATTCAGTTACCAATAGGCAATAGCGATAGAAAAAATTGCAAAAAAAAAAAAACCACCGCCGCCGGAGGATCCACCCTCGGACGAAGCCGACGCCGTCGCCGCCGTCGCCGTCGACGCCGACGGGGAGAGGGAGAGGGAGAGGGAGAGGGAGAGGGGGAGGGACGGCCGTCTCTGCCGCACCCCGCCGTCGTTGCGCCGTGCCGGCGAGACGGGAAGGAGAGCCGCCGCCGCCACCGCCGCTAGTGTAGGGAAAGGTGCTGCTGCCGCTAGCGTGGGGGAAGCCGCCGCCGCCGCCGCAGCCCTCCGCCGCCGCCACCGCCGCAGCCCTCTGTCGCCGCCGCCGCAGCCTGCCGGCGAGAAAGGAGGGAGAAGGGAAGGGAAGCGGCGTCGGTGGTGGGAGAGGCGGCCGGCTGGGGGGAGGGGGAGAGGCGGGAGATGGGGAAAGGGAGCGGCGCCGCCGGAGGGAGGGGAGGGGAAGCGGCGCCGGTGGGGAGAGGGGGAGGCGGCGTCGGGAGTGGGGGAGGCGACGAGCGGCTTGGGGGGGCGGGGGGGAGGGGTGGGGAAGGTTAGGGTTAGGGTTAGGGTTTTGATAAGGCCGTGGGCCGACCGGCATGGGACGGAAATAAGACTATTTTAGGTCCCTCAGGCCGGAAATAAGTCTATATTAGGTCCCTCGGGCGAAAAAAAAAGAGAAGTTCATTTTTAGTGATTTTTTTAGAAGCATTTACAATTGTTATTGAATGTGTTTATTTCTAAGCAAACCTAAAAGGAAGGATTTTCTTTCTTTTTCCAATTAAATAATTATTAAATGATGTTTGTATTATTAAAATTAGCAATTAAGCTCTGAAAATTCTAATAAAATTCCAAAAAGCATAACTAATCATGGAGAACTTAGTAAAATTAAATTTAACAATGTCATTTTATTTCTCACACTTGCTTTACTTGTAAATTTATTTAATTATACACATACCTACTTAAAAATACCAAATATTTCAGCGAATTTGTATTTTAATTAATTGCATTTTTTTTTCTGATCTGTGCGCTTCCCGGTGCAACGCACGGGCACTTTTGCTAAACCAAACAACAATTATGGTCAATATACACACTCCGTAATCACCCGGTGTAACGCACGGGCACTTTTGCTAGTCCTACTCCAAATACTTAAATATTTTGGCTTTGGAAAACTTTATATATTTGTTCTGGGATCAGTAGCATTTCAGTTTCTCCATGACAAAAAAAAAATAAATTCTGGGTGCTTACGTCGCCTGTTCAGAAAAATAAAAATCCAAAAAAATAAAATTTCAAAAAAAAAAAACGAATCCGTCACCGCCATTGCTCCTGGCCGCCACCTCCTCCTCGTCATCGTCCTTCTCGTCGTCGTCGGCGGCGGCGACCGAGGACGCTGCTCCCGCCCTCATCGTCGGCGACGGCGGCCTCCGCGCCGCCGGCCTTCACGCCATCCGCCATCGGCATCTGTGCTCCCCTTCGGCCGCACCGCCGCTGACGCCCCTCCCCTCCGCCGGATCAGGGGAGGGAAGGACGGGGAGAGGAGGGGAGCTGGATCCCGCGAGGGAGGGCGGCCGGCCGCCGGATCCGCGCTCCCCTCCGGCCGCACCGCCGTCGACGCCCCTCCCCTCCGCCGGATCTGGGTTGGGAAGGGAGGGGAGCGGGATCCCGCGAGGGAGAGGGCGTCCGGCCGCCGCCGCCGGATCCGTGCGGGGGTTGGCCGTCGCTGCGCCACCGATGCCGTCGCGCGCTATCGCCATCGCCGCCTAAGCCCGCCGCCGCCGTAGAGGAGAGGAGAGGAGATAGAACGGGGAGGAGAGGAGAAAGGATAGAGGAGAGGAGAAAAGGAGAGGAGAGAAAGTGGGGAAAATTTAAAGTAGGTAGGAGTGAAAGAGAGGGTGGGTATTTTTGCGTGCGGCTCTCACCGCACGCGAAAATGAGTATATTTTCACAGACGTGACCAATTATGGTCCGTCTACAATCTAAATAAGTCCATGACTGGAAAATCATTTGTGCAGTAGTGAGTTCCGGTGGAGAATCTGCCGGCAGCTTATGTTATCTGCGACTCTGGGGGATCAGGTTGGATTGGACCGCACATCTCTCTAAGTGAAAAATTAATCTCATGATGGAACGATAATGAGCCACGTAAGCTAAAAAAATTGACCGTTGGATCCACATGAAGACAAAAACTGGCACGATGAAATACAACCGTCGGATGCGAGGAACCTTCCAGAATTTTTCTTTTTGAAGAATGAACAGGACGAATAGGAAGCAATGAAAGAAGTATTAAAAAAACACGGATCCACCACGCTTCCTACTTGTTTTGGTGAAGTGAGAATAGGAGCAAGAAATCTGGGGAGAGGGCAGTGCATCCACCACTAGTTATGCACACTATACACAGACGCACGTGCAAATGTTTTTCCTGTAGCGACGAAAACAACAGCAAATCTATGGTATTATAAGTTCCTATTAAAAACACACACATATATAAATAATACATGCATGTTGGTATCAGGATAATATTGTTGCTCATTTATTTTTATTTTTTAAACGAAGACGTACGTCGCCCAAACCGTAGGCCATCTCA